TTTCTTTCTTTCTTTCTTTCTTTCTTTCTTTCTTTCTTCCTCCCTCCCTCCCTCCCTCCCTCCCTCCCTCCCTTCCTTTCTTTCTTTCTTTCTTTTTTTTGGTTAGGGTTTTACTGTGTAGCTCCTACTTCACCTCACCTTCCAAAGTTCTATCGAAGGCAGAGTAAGTATGACAGACAGAAAACTGCTCTCTGTTGGGGTCCACGCCCTGACTTCTAGAATCTGTGATTATGAAAAGAAACTTGCAACCTTGCTGAAGTTACAGACTTTGAGCTGGAAGATTATCAAGGATGGGATGAGTAGACCAGGGTCATCACAAGGAGCTGCGGAAGGAGGTTGGTTACAAAGTTTCCTGAGGGAGGAGGATGGAGTATTTTCCCTTTCTGTCTCTTTGTACTTTGTATTGATTTAACAATGAAACTGTACTATTTATTACTACAATAAAAAACAATGGAAAGATTCCCCTTTGGGGGAAGCATTTGCAAATGTCTTAGGCTCCATCCTTTTCACTAGCCTGCCAGATCCAAATCCATGTGGTCAAATGCTTTCTGCTTGACTCCGACTGTCCTCATGCCAATCAAATAGACTCTACTCCTGTGCTAGGGCTCACAGAAAAGCCACCTTCTCCAGGCAGTACTTTCTGATAACTCCTATAATTGCCCCACCAACAGACCCTGTACTACAGATTTCTTCTTGTTCTTGAGAGCCTCCCTTAGGATCTTCACCCCCAAATCACCAGGTTCCTACTTTCTACTCTGATGCTTTCTGCTCAGGAATTACAGGGGACCCAAAGCTTCTAACCCTTTGTCATTCTAGTGTCCATCCAAGCTATAGCATGGCTACCTAAACACAGTCAATGCATTTGTGCTAATGCACACACAGTAACATAAAGTATGCGCTCCCAATAAAGGTGTGAAAGCAATCTCAGGAAAAGCTAGCGGCTGGAGGGTGAGCAACTCCACCCCAGCTAAGCTACAGAACCTGCCCCCAGCCCTGCCCGCTTTGCCCTGAACTTGAGAACAGATAAAGAGCAGAGGAACAAATAGAGACAGAGCTCAGCGGAGTCCCGACAAAGCAACAAAGTAACTTCCAAACAGCACACAGCAGCTTGAGATCTGTTGGCCATGCCCTAGCATAAACCCAAACTGAGCAGTGCTGCAAACTCCCAGTCTCCGCTCACCTCCTCCACTCCAGATCCTGCCTAGCACGTGGTCTACCATTTGACAACCAGTCAGATAGCTGAGACTGAGCAGTCTGGCGAAAAAACCACTTTAGACATATGCTATCCCAGGTTAGAAATAATTTCTCTACAACCCATGATCCCTTCACCTTTTTTGTCCCCCAGGGGGTCACTCCTTCCGCTTTAGAATTATCTTTAATGTTTTACTTGTATTGAACCAGGGATGACACAGGCTAGGGGTGAATGTCTGTCCCTCATCATCAGCTTGGGGAACCACCAGCTTTCCAAGTCCAAAGCTCTTGAGGCCTACATTACTTTAAAGTTCCCACACGGGGTCTGAAAGCTACAGCCAGAAGTAGCCCAGGGCGGTGGGAACAACTGTGTGGAACGTTGGCAGATACCGCTTCTAGGTTTGGACTTGATGCATTTCAGCTCTTCCCTGACCCAAGTTCAAAGAGAAGGATGGATTTGAGGAGCTGGGGTCTAGTCCAGCTCTGCAGTCGGGGTCTACCGGGGATCACGAAGGGCTAACAAATTACTTCTTAGCCTGTAGTCTCCAGGCCTCCATGTCAGAGGAACAGGTTTCTCCCTCTGCCACTAACTCTGTGTCAGAGGCCGATCTAGCAGTCTGTGTATTCACTAACATTCCAGGGGATTCTGGTGCATGCTCAGATCTGAAAACCACTGATTAAACTGACTCTCAAAGGACCGTATGAAACTCTACCTGGGTCATCAAACAACATAGCTTTATATTTAGCTCAAATTATTTCTTTTTAGTTTTTTTTTTTGGAGGGGGCCATAACAACAAGCACACACACACACACACACACACACACACACACACACACACACCCTCACACAGAGAACCACAGTACATGTCATGGATCTATTCCCTCAAATATATACCAAATAGAATGGCTGCTGACACTCCACAGGCTCTTTCTTCACACCAGTGTAGCAGGCAAAGATGACTTTCATTCTCCCAGATGAGGAACATCCCTTGACCCACTCACACAGTTAGCTGGTGGGAAACTCAAAATTCCAGTTTGTATTTCTTATGTGACCCTTGGAATTTTTGTGTGTGATTGTTTACTGCTTGCCCATGATTTTGATTGAGTCCTCAAGGGCACCCCCTACATGTGGGCACCCACACCATATGTAGGATACTCACCACAGGCAAGAGCCAGGAGGTGGGTCTGCCAAGTGAGTGCCATGAACATGCCTCCAATTGCAATGCAGGCCAGAGAACTGTTGAATCCCCAGAGCCCGGCGTAGATGTCTTCAAACGGAGCTGCAAGACTGAGTCCTGTTAGGCAAAAACAAGGGTGGTCAGAGCTTGGGATACAGAGAAGGATGCTCTCCAATGAGTTGTGGGGTCAGGAGAAGTATCCCAAGAGCTCTTCTTGCTCAGAGACCCCAAGAAAGCTCTGTCGTGTAAGAGATGCCCGAGACCTGCATGGGATGAAGAAGATGCTTATGTTAGGCTGCAAGCCTCATGCTCACCTGCGGCAACACCCAGCAACGATCCAATAGCGGCATGCAGGCACATGAGTGGGGAGGAAAGAAGAATGGCACACAGGAAAATGCCCCCTGTCCACGGGTTGTCACAGCCATATATCTGACCGACGCCCACCGGAAGGGACTTCAGTAGCTGCAATGGAAAGCACAAAATTGTAGCCACTCAAACAACAGACAAGAAGACCACGGGACACTGCAACTTTATACGACATGATAGTTAGACTTAGCATATTTTATCCTGCAGGATCAGTGCCAATATTATATTAACACAGAAAAGAAAATCTCATCTTCTCTTTGGCTTTCTCTCTTGAGAGGTACACCGGTCCTGCTCAGATGCATGCCGAGCATGGCTCCTCCAAACCTTGTGTGCTCACTAGCTTTCCCACTATGTGAGGCTTCCAGGGTGGTCTCACCACTCCTGGCTCTGATGGCATGTTGTACCTTCCCTAGTGTGGCAGGGACACAGGTCAGTTGCTTCCTGCAGTCCATCAGTGCTGGCAGTGAATCAGTGCTGTTCCCCAGCCTGGAGAAATACTAGTACAATTGTGTTGGCTGCCCAGACTCAAAAGGCCAGTGAACTGAACAAGACTAGCTCATCCATAATTTAGAAGCAATTATAGCCAACTTGATGAATCAGGACCACATTTGCCCTTCTGATACCAAGTGGAACATGTACCATTTAGCAAAAAATATCTTTGGCTTATTTTAGTCCTTAACACCTGTCTATCAGATCTCAAGACATGAAAACACAAACTTTACATTTCTGTTTTCTGACAGAGGCCTTAATCTACCTGAAGTGTTTACAGCGTGGCAGTTCTCAGGAGAACACAGGATTTGGCTCAAATGAATAACATTTCCATCTAATAAAACTTTTGCTTGGGCCAGGAAAACATAATCACACACGGCTTCTCCCTTTGAGCAAAACATTTCCTGAAGGATGATGGCCTCTCTGCTTCTCACGTATCTTTTGGCGAGGCCTGAGAAGCAATAACTCTGCCTGGTAGGGGAAGCCCCACCTTGGGCTTCCAAACACTGGCTTGGCCCTTGTCTGGTGCGCTGGACCACACTGAGAGTCTACCTTAAGGTGGCCTCTAAATGCTTTCTGTTCCCAGTCTTGTCTGTGTGTAGTCATTCCCCGTGTCTTCTAGACCTGGGAACTTTGCACAGGTGAAGACTGATTAGACTTTTTATCTCTGAACTTGGTATCCTAGGTATCTCTTGGGTGGTCAGGGGTGGGAAAGTTGGGTGAGCTATCACAGAAAAATTCCGAATGGGAAGAGGTCAACTGACCTTCAGAATCTTCATGTTGATAGTCCCTATCTGAGATATCCAGTACAGCAGGTACTAGCCACACAGAGGTACTGGGTATCTGAGTTGTGGCTGGTGAAGTTGAGGAATTGAGCTGTGAATGCATTTACATCTAAGTTTAAATAACCACACGGGGCTAATGGCTGTCTTATGAGACGGTGTAGTCTGAGAGAGAGAGCGATACAATTTTACAATGTTACTTTCCCCGAGCAGTTGCTTTTCATTTTGGAATAGTTCCAAGTGCTTCTATTTGCTTACTGGGTCAAAGATAAAGCACAGGCTATGTCAACTTCTCCCGAGTTTTCCTCACTCAGCAGAGAGGATGACAAAAGGGCACATCTAATGTGACGGCCGGAGAGCCAGTCTTTTGCACATTAAAACAAAAACAAAGCCAGCAAGGCCTCTTTGTTTTCTTTGATTTCAACTACTTACTCTCAGAAATTAAGAAACATTAAGCTAGGTACTGAGACGCAGCGCTGTAGCAAAGCATTAGCCTGGCATGTGAGAGGCTCTATTGCAATCTGTATACACACACACATATGCACGCATGCATGCATGCACACACAAAGAAAAAAAACCCGCAAATTTCTTATAGAAACACCTGTGGGAAGAGCTGGAACTCAATTTGGGAGAAGCAGGTTTTTGAAAGCACATGCTCTCTGCGCCTATCTGTAAGGAGCTGCACGATACCCACACCCTGTGACTCAGCGGATCTCAAGCTCTGTCCACCAGCACAGTTGGGAGGAATTTGCTGATACAGGTTCCCAGGCCCCACTACACCTTGAGAACCCTTTGTGTTCTGTAAGGAGGCAGAACAGCCAGGTTCTATAGAGTCCAAAAAAGTATAACAGTTCTGAGCGGGAGAAGCTGATCCTGAAATCTCTAACCCCAAGGGAGAGACCGCCTGCCTTGTCTCAGCCACTCAAAGAAGGGCTAAGCTTCCCACAGTGTCTGATCTCCAACGAACTGCCCGTGAGGACTGTCATTGCAGACAGATTTTTAGGGAGAAAAAAAAAAGTTGATATTTTACCTCCAGCGCGTTGAGCTCAGACCACGTGATATTGGGCACGGAGGTGACGGGTGCGAAGAGTTTACTTGGAAAGAATGCATTATAATGTCCTGTGGCTGCCGTGTACATCGTCAGCGCCATGTTGAAAGGGAGAGTGAAGACCGGGAGATCCCATTTGCTCAACACCGAGTTCAGCGCACTGGAGAAAACTGGGCTGAAGGAACGCGGCAGGAGAATGAGAATCAGTGACCAGCAGCCAGGCTGAGCCTCCAGATGCTAACATGCTCTGAAGTGTTGTGTTGAGACAAACCTTCCACGGGGGTCAGGGGTGGGGTTGGAGGGGGCGTGGCCTGGGGCCAATCCTATCTCAGAGACAACAACTCCAAAACACACCACAAGACGAACTCTTGGTTGACTTTTGAAAACGAAAATATCCTGAGGTGCCTCAGAGTGAGTTCTAATCAAGGTTTTTAAAAACAAGTTTGGGCGCTCTTAATAAAGAGAAATCTTCTCTGCATAGTTAGCGCCCTGTGATCCTGGGGTCCGTCCTCCACACCAGAGTCACCACCATCCTGAATTTGGAAGATAGCGCTCTGCATGTCTTCTCTATAGGTATCTATTTTGGAGAAAAGACTAGGGATTTGGGTGGTTGGAGCTGGAAAAACGGGTCTTACAGGAGTGGACAGAATGTCTGTCCTTGAGCTACAGGTAAACTTGAGACTTCACAAAGAGTCACTTCCTTGTTCCATGGTGTGCAAGCTTAGGCTTGCTTTGGATGGTGTAGATTGGTGGTTCTCAACCTGTAGGTCATGACCCCTTTAGGGGTTGAACAACCCTTTTATAGGGGTCAAAGATGAGATATTCTGCCTATCAGATATTTACATTACGATTCATAACGGTAGCAAAATTACAGTCATGAAGTAGCAATGAGATAATCTTATGGTTGGGGGTTACCACAACATGAGGAACTGTACTGAGGATGCAGCATTAGGAAGGCTGAGAACCACTGGTGTAGACAGTTCCCTGGACCCTTGTATCTGTCTCACTTGTTAACACAATGGAGAAGCATCCTTGGAAGATCAGAACTGATCTCCTACTGGGGGAGGGTGTAGATCACCAGACGGCCATGGTTCCTGTCCTTGAGAAAATCCTTCAGAGCAGCTGCCAGCCTCCTTGGGGAGGCTGGCACTATGGACAGGGCCTCCACACACCTATGGGCGCCACCAGGGTGGAGCCCTCCTGCAGGTGGTGCCCAGAGGGGGCTACTTGAGTTTTCTTTGTGAGCGTATCAGCACTTTATACTTTAGATATGATATAGATCTCATTATAGATGGTTGTGAGCCACCATGAGGTTGCTGGGAATTGAACTCAGGACCTCTGGAAGAGCAGTCAGTGCTCTTAACCTCTGAGCCATCTCTTCAGCCTAGATACAATATAGAAAGATAGATTTGTTTCTAGGAAAAGGAATTAAGATGTCAGCACAGAAGCTGGTTTTAAAGATTCTGGTTTTGTGAAGACAGAATTGAATTTAGAAAGAAAAAAAAGGAGATGGGCAGCTCGGCTAAGTCCTTGGGTGACTCCACTGATGGGGGGCACCTTTGGCTATACTTTAGAACCACCTGGGGGGTTAAAAACCTCAACATACAGGCAACAGCACAGAGCAGGTGTGTGTGTTCAGTGTGTAGCTGAGGTTGAGAATGTCTGGATGAAGGGGGCATGCAGCCGACTTTGACGCAAGGACCACTAACAGGTGGTAAGAAAATCTGCACCTCTTAAGCTGGTTGCTTTAGTTTCTATAACCACGTTCTAATTTTTTTAATTTGTGGCAAAAGATACATAAAATTACCATTTATTATTATGTTGTGTCCCCCCTCCCCCAGACAGCCTCTCTAGACAGATCAGCCTGGAACCCACTCTAAGCCCAGGCTGACCTTACACTCATAGCAACTCTCTTCTTCACTTAGCCTCCAAAATTCAGGGGTAATAGATATGCGCTACCATAGCTGGCACCATCGAACTATTTTCGTTTCATTTTTACATGTAATTTGTGTTTGTGGGGTGGGTGTGCATGTGTGGGCGTATGTGGAGATCAAAGGAAAACCTGGGAGTCAGTTCTCGTCTACCATGTGGGTTCCCGGGATTAAACTCAGGTTGCTGTCCTTGGCTACAAGTGGCTTTATGGGATAAACCAACTTGCTGGTTCCATTTAACTATTTAAAGTGCAAAGTCCAATGACAGAGTGATACACAGCTACCGTTGACTCTCAGAGTACTTTTCACCTTACAAAGGCGGGCTCATTAAACACCAAACCTCCGTTCCCTCTACCCTCCACGGGCACTTTGGCAATCAGGCACAACTTACCAAGTCATGGACATAATAGATACAGGGAGTATCAGCCACCAGTAATAGTCGCCTTTGTCTGAGAAGACAGCCATGAGCATTCCCACAAGGGTGGCGTTGTAGCCCTGGAGCCCGGCTGCAATCGCTGACCTACAGGTGTGAGGAACAGCACAGACATTGCCTGAGTGGACTTCGTTAGGACTAGACATAAACAATAGCTGTCACTTCTAGATCGCATCCACTTTAGAAAACATAATCATACCTGGGCATGTGTTTCAAAGCCTTTTATGGACCATGCAGATACAACTAAATTGTGCAGGGAAATCTGCACAGATAAAACTGAAATGTGTACATGGAACAATGCCCTCCAGGGTATGACACAGACCTCAGGAAGGATGGCAGCTGCTGAGGGAGAGGGGCCTGGGAAGGCAGTCTGCTTTCGTTCAGCCTTTCCCGAGAAAATTCTTATTTCTTTTAAATCACCAATGACCTTAACTGGATCAGGGTTTTTAGCATTTCAAACAGTCTTAAGTCTTATTTCTCAGTGAGAAACGTTTGACTCCTGGAAGGCAAGTCCTTTCATAGTGCCTTCAGAAACATCCAACTTCAACTTAAAGGACATTTTCGTGTTCTCCTGATTCTACTTTGTGTTCTCTAAGTGTCCATCTTCAGGTTATTGAATAGAAAAATGACTGTTTCTATTTGCCAAGGCACCTATTTAATTATGTGCACACATAGCTCCTCTTGTTGAAACCTCTTTGTGATGGTTAAGTATTCAGTCTGTCTCCTAGGTTCCTCTAGAGAACCCTGACTAACGCACCCGATCTGTTTGGCATTTAACGTCACTTTCAAAGACCGTCTTACATGTCAGCTTCTACTCTGGCTGTAACGGAATCTAGGTCATAATCAGGAAGCAGAAGCTGCAAGGAAGCAATGGGAATATTTCTGTAGAGTAAGCCCCTAGCCTGGCAAGTTCCCTCCTTTCAGACTCTGAGAGTTGGAGATGTACAGCATCATGAAGAACAACAGGGTCCATTTCTGGCCTGATGCTCAGAGATAATGACCGTGGGGACCTAGGAGGTAAAGGTGGTGGAGTTAGGTCAAATGTAGGGCCTTTCTGTGGGGGAGGGGCTACAGCCAGAGAGCTGCGTTGCCACTGATGTGAGAGTTTTCGGTTTTTATCTGACTGTGCACAGAGGTGCCAGTACAACCATATCTGATGTCATATCTATTCATTGTGGTGAGGACATCAAAGTCCAAAGTCCTTTGTCTTTCTTCAGGAATCCTCCAGAAACTGGAGTTAGGCGTGAGGATGGTGGAGAGCTCTGTGGACTGGACCTCCCTCAGTGCTGGTCAGTGGACAATGGATGGCAACATCTCCAAGTCAAGAGATGCCACTGTGCCAGCCCCAGGAAGAGTCAGTCACTTCAATGGAACTGTCGTTTTTGATCTTTTTTTTTTTTTTTTTTTTTAGTACTAAGAAAAGTAAAAGAAACTTGAGAAGTAACACACGTAAATATAAAAATGTGACTTATCTTCTAAATAATAAATTGCCAAGGAAATGAGGGTGCCCCCCCCCACTCCTCAGTCCCAGGGATGAAATGCAGGGACTTGTAGATGCTAAACAAGTGCTCTACCGTTGGATGGCATGCCTAGCCCAGAATCATGCTTCCTTGCAGCAAAAACAATGAGGGACTAATCCTGGGATGTGTGGCTTTCCATCAGCCCAGAAGCTGAGCTGGCTTGTGCATGGCCCATGAAAGGAGACAACCATGTTAAACTGGTGATGGACACAAGACATAAGGGGGCTGTTAAGCCACTGTCTTTTCAAGAACTCGGGAGCATTTTGCTTAAAGTTGCAATAAATAATTGTATCACTAAAGGAGACTTCAGTAGGCTCTTTCCTGGTGATAGATGAGTTCTGGCTACCATACACAGCTGGTAATCCTCAGACTGTCCCTTGTTCAGAGGAAAAGAATAAAAGACTATCCGTGATCCTCTGGCCTCTGACGAAAGAACAAACAGAGAGTTCCGTGGAATGAAGGTTTTTTTTTTTTTTCACCTGGGAGGGTGTGGCTTTATTAGGGCTGCCCATGGCAGCTGCCCAGCTAGTGGCTCAGAAAGAGAGGGAGCTGGCATATGAGGGCTCGCTTACCTGTCTTGGCTCAGCAAGAGGGCTGTCAGAGTGGACACCACAGTTCCCACACAGCCACAGAGAGCCCACCAGGGGTTCTGGACCAGAAATCCGGTCAGAATCAGGATCCCACTGATGGGGTTGCTGACGAACACCACCTGGGATATGCCACGAAGAATCCAGTCAATGAACTGGAGCACCATGGGCTTGTCTGGAGAGGCGAGATGAGCAGAGGTAAGGACGAGGCAAGGTAACCCCAAGGTCTACCCTGAACAAAGCCACCAGAATCTGTGGGAGCTGAAACTTTCAGATATGTTTTTAAGCCTTCCTTTGACCCCCTTGGACTGTTTATAGTCAGTCCACCCTGCCCCTACTGGAATCCAAGCTCCAGAAAGCAGCTACGGCTCCCCTTGGCCATGCTCAGCGGTATAGACTAAGCCAAAGGAATAAATTATCAGCAGGAAGATTTTCTTTGTGAAGTACTGGGATTGTAGGATAAAGACACCCCACTATTTCCATGAAAAAAAAAAGTGTGAAAAGGTTTGCAAGTTAGAAGATGCAAAACTAGAAAGCAATGCCTGGGGAACAGCGCTAAAAACATAGGCAGAAACAGAGGCAAAGGATTTCCTCAAAGCTGTTTCTCCCTTCTCTCCAAGGAATGGATGTTTCCATACCTTTAAGCCAGTTGGCAAACTCTTTCATATCACCAGTGACATAGCCAAGTACTTTGAAGCCACACCGTCTCCCCCGACACGATGACACCTGGTTTTCACCCCGGTCTACTTTAACCATGGTGGGACTGTCTTCCATGGCCATCTCTTCCTCGGGCTCCTTGAATAAAAGGACGGAGTTTGTAAGCATCCTGAAGGGGAACTCTGTGGGCTGGCGAGCTTAGGCTGTACAGTTGCCATAGAAGATGAGTTGGGAGGCATTCGCCTAGACCAGGGCAATGTCATGGCTCTGAGAATTTGCTCCTTCCTTCCGAAGTATCATTGAGGAACTCATTATCCAAACCCAAACAAACGTCAGCCTTTGTCCTTGATGTCTGTAATGCTACCACGAGAAGGTCCTGTCTGTACCCTCAGAAGACTCGGTGTCTGGCTTAACCAGCATTTGCTGGGCCTCCATTTCCTGTACTCAGGGGACTCAGTGTTGTTGAAAAGGAAAAAAAAATTAATGTCAAGAGAACAAATCAAAGAATCAAGAAAGAGCTAAAATAAGTCACTTTGAAATTCGTATTTTTCTTTTTTAAAAAATAGCAATTATAAGCAGGAGTGGTAGCGGACACCTCTAAGCCCAGCACGTGAGAGTTGGAGGCAGGAGGATCAGGAGTTCAAAGGCAGCCTCAGCAACATAATGGTTCAAGCGTGGGCTAGGTACACGAGATTCTGTCCCAGAAAAACAAAGCACCAACATAGAGAACACCCAAACTACTGATTTAAGAATTCTTTGAAAAAGAAAAAAGATTAAAAGAGTCTGTGTTTGTTGACACAGATCAAGGATCCCCTGGCCCCAATCTCCAAGAATAAGATTGCTTGAATGCATTCGTATGTCATGGAGTCACCTCAGAGACTCTGTAGTTTGGAATCTGTCATATAAATGCATTGAAAAAGCAAGACAGATACACCACAAAGGTGTAGAACAATGGTTCTCAACCCATGGGTCGAGACCCCCCCCTTGGGGCAATGAACTACTCTTTCACAGGGGTTTGCCTAAGACCATCGGAAAACACAGATATTTACGTTATGATTTATCACAATTACAGTTATGAAGTAGCACCGAAAATAATTTTATGATTGGGGGCCACCACAACAGGAGGAATTGAATTAAAGGGTCACAGCTCTGGGAAGGCTGAGAACCACTGGAAACTTGGTGAAAATGGACAACACTGCTGAAAGCCCGAGACTGTGACGTGGAGATTGCACGGCACCAGGATGCACAGGCTTTCATTATAGTCGGAGAGTCTCGCCGGAATGCAAACGCTGGCAGCCCAGTGTGTGTCGACTACATGGCTGTCTAATAATACATAGCAAGAGAGGACCAACATCATCGGATTTGGTACCCTGCAGACACAGCAGGAAGTGAGGATGACCAATGATACATCCCTAGAGGTAGACCCTGGGACAAGGACAATGGCCACGTCCCCCTGGTTGTATGAAAACAGCCCAGAGCGGACGGGTAAGTAGGAAGTGGGGCAGCTCCATTGTCAGCCTTAAAAGGCTTCAGTGGAGAATGTGTGGAAGCCTCAGCCACAGAAGGCAAGACCGAGGGAGTGCCCAAAGCTGCACAGATAAGCCAGCCTATCTTTCCTCACGGCACGGCATGGACAGAGCTCCTCTGGCTCATTCTGGTAAGGAGAACATTCATCATTGTTCTCCTTACCACCTTCACCAGCTAGCCACTGACAGCTAATGCAATTATATCTTTTTAAAAATCTAGACTTAGTTTTGACTTACACGAATCCCAGTACAGAAACCAACGTTTTATTACTGATTTATTACTGTGTAACAATTTTACTTCTCACTATCGCTTAAGCTGGCCTTGAACTCGCTATGATCCTCCTGCCTCTGCCCCCGCCCCCAAGTGCTGGGATAACAGGTATGTTCCACCGTGCCTGGCTATCTTCCTGTTTTTTAAACAATGGTGCACCATTAATCATCGCACAAAGTTGGAGCTATTTCTGCAATTCATTCCAGATCAAGGTCATTCTGCCTTGGCAATGTTCAATCTGACATCAACATTTGTGAGTCTATCGGTGAACCTTTGTATTGGGAATTTTTTTTACATTGAAAACTGCTGGAGTCACAGAACCTAAACTAAGTCCATATAACCCAGCTGTCTCTGCTCTATACTTCAAATTCACAAATCCGTACAGGCAACCCAGCATTTGTGAAAAAGTATCTTACATTTCATAATCTAAGCAATGGCTATCACTTATTGCAGACCTCTCCCTCTCTAAATCTCATAACTGAAAATATTGTGTGGTTGGACCCTTCCCCAGAGACAGTGACCCATTTTCAAAGTCATACTAAGTTACAAGAGGCTCCAGTCTCGGCCATGACAAGAAGCCCAAAGGACAATTGTCCTGAGTTGCTGGAACCAAATGTGTCAAGCCCTGAAAGTGGCAGTTTCCATCCGTCACAGAAACCAACTCCAGAATACACACGTGCATGCTCTCAAAACTTCCAGCCTATATTTATTTTAGAGAGTTTCGAATACCATATCACCCCAGAGATTCGAAACCTGATAGGATAACTGGCCAGACGTGACTGAGAACCTGAATGGCCTGTGTCCTCTGCAGAACCACCCTAAGTTAAGACTGAACTATTTTTGTCCAAATCCACATCTCCACCTAAAGCTGTGTCTCCAATATTTATTTGTTGGGATGCACTGGAGGACTGTAACATTGTTCCCCACCATTCCTTACCTCAGAGAAGGACCCATCCTGGCTGAGCAGACAGTGGCTACATCCTAGTCTTCCCTTAGTGCCTGGGGTCCCTGTCACCTGTTCCAGAACTCCAGCATGAGAGCTGGTTAGGAGAAATCAGTAGTTTAAATCTAGTTCACTCTAGATTGTTATCATGCTAGAAAATCTGTGTCTCTTTTGGGAACTTGGATGAAGAGAGAAGAAGAGAGAAGCGTTCTAGCTGATGCTCACACACTACATTTCCATGGAGAGGAGAGGACAATGAATCTAACCCAAGCAGGAGAGTCATAAAGCTCCAGGCTGTGCTTTCCTGGGTTTTCCAAGGCTGTTCAAATGCCCAAGCTCAGTGGTCCAGCTTCTAAGCCTGTCGGGGTAGCTAGGCCACAGCAGCATGCTCAGCAGAGCTTGTTGACCACCCATGCCCCAGCCTGAGCTCAGAAAAGATACCAAGCTAGGAAGAGGCTCTCGGGTTCCCCAAGGAACAAGCTGCTGGAAGGGAGCCTACCTGTTCTTGCCACCTGTGTGCCAGGGTCAAGCTTAGCCGTCTGAAGCCTCCTGGTGCTGCCTCACTGGCTTTATTTCCAAAAGGGTCTATCCAAAGAGGACCGTGATGGGCGTCATCAGTGCCACCAATCAAAGACTGTCCACTCATCCTTCCTTTTTCATACATGACAAAGGGCAAAGAGATGTGAATCAGCAGGATGTGTCCTGGCTCTGGGGAGCACAGGAAAAGCCGGACTTGGGGAGATGGACAGGCCCGTGTGAGTTTCTGCTGAGGGGAAATATTCTCTGCCCTGGCCCCCTGGAGCAGAGGTCCCCACTCACGGGAGGGAGGAAAGAGGACACACTGACTGTGGAGATGAAACTCGTTTTACTTTAAGAAAGGGTAGCAAACCATGCTGAAGAGAGCAGGAAGGAGAGTGGGTCTCCTGCTCTGTTTTTGACTTGCAGGAGGGTAGCCAGCCCATCTGAGACCTGCTGTAGAGAGGGAGGGAGGTTTCAGGAGTGCGGGGG